TCTATTGTTGGAGAGGAAGGAAATTGTAGCTCACCGTCAGTTTCTATAAGCATCTCAGTAAGTAATACGCTGAACTTTTTATCGACTTTCTTAATCATATTACCCTCGAAGCAAATCAGGAATATAAGCACTATCGCTTTCAATTTCATCGCAAAGAAATTAATCACGTCTTCGAACCTAATACCTATAGTTGTCTGAAAAATAACACAAATTATTATTATTTTGCTGGACCTAAAAGTATGCATAGATAAAGTGGTTTATATGAATGAAATACTGTATATGAAGTTTCAAACGTACGATTCTAGCAGCAATTTAAATATTTGTGTTTATTGAGTATGCTATTTTCGAACTGTACAATTACTGTAATATTTCTGAAAAATATTGTCCATATATTCTGAAAGATATTAATGCTATAAAAAATCTTGTTCTATGGGTACTAATAAAATAAATTTAAATATTTCTTTAATTATAAGAAAACATACCTCATCTTTAATTTTGTATGTGTACGAAACAATCTGAACAGCTGCAATAGCCATTGTAGCAAATAAATTGCAAATATACTGAAATATAAAAAATGTAAAATCAATATAATATTATAATATAATTATTATAAGTAAACCAATTAAAATTACTTACAACTGGATTTAATAGATTAACAATGCATTTTTCCGATTCTACCATTTTTTTGTAGTCATCTAAAGCGTCAGTTAACAGATCATCCAATCTTATGGTTGCTGGTTCATTGGAACTTTTATATATATCACGGTTTGCGGCATATTTAATTTTTTTATACATCGCTTCTAAGCGACACCTGATAAAGTTGAATACAAGGAAACACCAAAACGAATCCACATGTGTGACAGTCACGGTAAACCATAGAAAAGTATTATATAATTTGACATTACTCATTCCCTCGATAATTATGTGCTCAATTAGTACATAAAATTCAGACGACATATATGTTATTAATAGAAAATAACTTAAAACAATATGCCTATTACTGTAACAATGGCCCGTTTTAAACAAATTTGTGTAAACCCACGATATTTTATTATTTCCTTTCACGTTGACCATAATAAGGGTGAATAATAAATTTAATTCCCTCAATGTTATAGTAATCTGATATTCTAGGTAGGTGTAGTTCTTTATTAGGTACGCAGTTAAGCAAATAACAAAGATGGAACATATAAAGCTGTAAATTGTGTAGGAAGTTTTAAATATTTTCCTACATTTTGTGTTAAAAAATAGACCTCTATCAATACCGCCTAATGCTAAGAATACAATTGTAAAACCAATAAGTATGCGAGATGGAATATTACTCTTTGCCAACATTTCGATGTACAGTGAGCGACACTTCAGGTAGACTAGTAAATGTGCTTAAAAGACATTAATGTATTATTAATATTGTCATCAATTTTATATTTATTTCAAGTACATGTACTCATTTTTATATCTATCTGTAATTTCTTTTTTATGAAAATTACATGTCAAATCGTGACGACGTTTAAACGATATTAAAAATGTCATTAAGTTCACAGAGAAGGAAATAAATATAGATATATGTATACAAAATATTTCTAATTTATATTTATAAAAAAGCTACCGGTGTCACCTTCAACAGAGAGCTAGTGAGAAATATAAATTGACAGGCATATTTATTTTAACCGATTTTCTAATAATATTATTCATAACTGTTATAATGAACCATTTTTGTACGAGAAAAAATATGCATCTACATCTTTTATTTATTCCAATAGTTTATTAACCCGTTTATTCCGAATAAATAAGGTTAAAGTCGTATTAATTAAACTGAGCGAATAATCGAGAATCGAGGCTGATATTTAATGAATAATTCTATGTGCAAAGTAACTAAAAGCTTTTTTCACCTTCAATAGTTAATGAATGTTAAACTACATAATAATAGAGAATAAAAAACATTAAACTGGAAATGAATTACCTAGAAAATTATATTTGAATTATTGAAGTTTCAACAGGTTCATGATTAGTATCAATGCATGGAATAAATATCCAAAGCTTCTACTCGAGTATGGAATACAAACTCATTAGCGTTCCATTCAGTTTATCTCAATGGTTCTTTATGGGATCGGTACGCGGATTAGTATAGTTTTATTTCGAGTTTACTTTTTACTAACAATTTATTATATGTATGTATATTGTATGATTATAAAATCGTAATATTTATTTATTTATTCATCCAAATTGTGTAAAATAACATAATAGTACAGTAAATTATCGTCAACAATATAATTAAACCTCGTTATGTCTTTTAGCATAGTATAGTAAGAATTTTTCATATATTTCATTGTCACATTTGTCACAAAGTCACATTGCCACCTGTCCCGCACATTGTCCTCATAGATGCAGTATCAAGTCTCTAGCATATATATCTTTCCACTATTTTAGTTATATTGGTTATGAGATCTGGAAATAAGAATTTATAGATATCAATATCTGAATTAAGTAAAGGAATCAAAATAAGTTATTATTTAACCTAAAATTGAGAGAATATTAAGTCAACTTAGAAGCTAAATAGACATGGTTACTTAAATATTAATTGTATATTGAATGCTACTTTCCAATTCTGTTAAAAATACCGTTGAATATTTTATATTGTAATAAATATAAGAAATTGGGTCCCATATTGACTTTACGTAAATAAATAATCATATAATAACCCTGGACCATCCATATAGCGCCATGTAGTCCAACTAAGTGGAGCTTATGGATAGACAATTGATATTTTTTTTAACTACCTACATAATATATACAGGAAATATCCAGGCACTATGATACATGCATACGCATGAGTAAAAATGACCAAGCATTTTTACTCGTCCTATCATCCTCCACTGGTGCAATAACTAGCATATATCGTTAGCACAGGCTGATTTCATATTTATCCACAAAAAAATAGTAGTGGTAGTTGGAGAGTGGGAAAATAATAATGTAAACTTATTAAATAAAATATTTTTTATTAAACAAATAGACTAGGCAGACTAGAACAATGATTTTTACTTTTATTGGAATTAATATTGTCTCTTAAATTTTTATGTACTTATATAATTATGATAAAATAATATTTAGTTTCTAATAATATAGGAGTAAAATAATATAAATATCTATATTGACAATATTTTTCATACATAGATTTCTATATAGAAAATATGTTGAAACTTCTAATATGTTTTTATAGAAATTTTATATTGGACTAGTTAATTAATTAAAAATATTATATTAGATTATCACTCGAATATACACATGACATTAATACTAAAAAATATTATTATACATATGAAAATAATTTTTCTTTTTCTGAGATTTTTAGACATTGATTACATATCAATATACCCTAAATAACCTTGCCTACCCTTATTGTTTCAAAACATTTGCATTATCTTTTAATTGCCATAAATAAACGGGATAGAATGAAATGTAATACATCCAAGGATGGAAGGGCTGGGAGAAGGTAAGGGAAGAGAGAATATTGTTCATTAAAATGCCGAGGAAAACACGAGCTTACATAGGTCATAAAAGTCAAAATTTATAATGAAATATGGTGTAGGTGATAAGTTCACTGGGTTATGTTATGTTAGTATTAAATATATACCTAAAATTTCCCTTGGCGAACTAAAATGTTAATGACATAATTTGTTGCACATATATTTTCAATTAAAAAATTACATGAACTTTATGCTTTGTTGCTGTTGTTTTCAAATAATTTTTTAAACATCAGAATTCATTGTTTTACTATTAGGATGAAAATCTTAGTTCAGTATTAAGAGTACTTTTTACGTTACATAAATCTAGCCTCGAGACAAAATGTGGATGTATAGAACAACTGAACAAATAATCGGCTTTAATAAAATTGTATTGCAGTTTTTATATAAATTTTATGTAATATATGCTTTTTTATGTTTGCAGAAGATAAAAATAAAATTATCTACATAATAAAACATTTAGAACTTATTTTTGTCTTAGGGGAGAAGAAAAAACAATCGTATTTCTATTATATTTTGCCTCAAGGCTAAATGAATAAGGTATAGTTTTTTTATATTATTAGTAGAATAATGCAACAAACCAATCTTCATTTCACCTCACCATTATCATTGATGAGATGGTCATCCTTGGAACTGTTGTTTACAGAACGCCTACATAATGCTGATCATACCTCCATTATAACATATCTTATATATTTATTCTCTTTATTATCGTATTGGAAGGGACACAACCACATTACTAGATGTCTTAAATTATAAGGAGATTTATTCTGTCTTATGTATTAATGAACAGTCATAAACGCCAGCGTTTATACTGTACTGAATTAATATCTTGGTACTAATTTTATTTTTAGATAAATTCTTTTATTGCCCTTCCACAAGCTCACGTGACGCAAACAACATCTCAGAATCCTAAAAGTCCAACAAAATATTTTATTAGCAGTGATTTAAAAGTTTATTTTAGTTATATAGTTCCTACAAAGAGTGGAAAGCACTTTAGTTATAATTATAAAAAAGAAATAAATGTTTTAAACATTATTTTTTATTTTAATATGAACTATTTGACACAAGTGGCACAAGATTAGGTAGTGTAGCTAACGTCACGTCTATTTACGATTAGGGATCTTACGGGATTTAAAGCTCATTTTACATGTATAATAATAATATTTGTGTACCTGGCGAATTTGAAAAGCCTAAGAGTGACCTTTTAAACTCGGTGGTACAAAATTCCGTTTCTGAAATTGTACTATTTTCGTGTATATATGTTATGTATAATATAGTTTTTACTTCCTGTAATGTATTGTGAAACTCTTCGAGATTTCTAAGGATAATCTAATTAACTAAAGTGGCAGTTACCAAGATTAGGTAAATTGGCTGACGTCATGACTATTTACGATTAAGGATCTTACGGGATTAAAGCTAGTTTTACATGTATAATAATAGTATTTGCCTTAAAAATTTAAGGGCGGGTTTAAAAGGCCTCTCACGCTAAGAGTACCGCTAGTGAGCTTCTAAACTTGGTGGTACAATCTTCCGTTGCTGAAAATGTACTATTTTCATGTAATATATGCTACGTATAATATAGTTTTTATTCCCTAAATTGAATTGAAACTCCTCGAGCATTCTAGTCCCTATATATTCACACATAAAATTTTGATAGTAAATATTTGTCTATTATACTTATATTTTATACAATTTAAGAGTCAACTTCATCTTACCATAGTTTCCATAATATAAAATGACTAATATTTACATTACACTCTGAAGTTAAAATTTATACTTATAATAAAACGAATAAACAGATTTAATAAACAAACCTCAACTAATCTCAAAGACAAATTCGTTTAATGAGTAGTCAATTCATAACAACTTTACTGTCGGACTATATTTGCATTTTGAATAAGTGCTTGTGGTGTATTAATTCATATTTATTTTGTACTTTGACCCGTAACATAGGTACTGTATACTTGAACTACGAGAGCAATATTAGAAGCAATTCGTTTTCTATTTATTAAAATCTCTGCAGTTGCTCCAGAAATTAGGAGCTTGCTTATTAAATCTGTTGATTTAAACACTGTTGTTTCGTATGTTATTTTCCTATAGAACTTAATATTAAAAATATTAACTAGATTTCATTATCTAATGAGGCATCGGTGATACTGATCTTCTAGCTAGTAGCGCCTTGTTGTCGCAGTAAGCTCTGATATCCGCAATTGGTTTCAAGAGGAAAACAGGCACGTCGTCATCGCGTTTCTGAAATAAACGAATATTAAGTTATTCTTCAAGTAATCAATAAGTTAATACTGAAGTTGTTAGGATAATTCACTATTAGTAATTGCTTGGATTTTTAAAAACGTAAAATGCTATTTACTCTTTATTTAAAATCTATATGAAAGGTTGAAGCATTAGAATCACATTGTAATTTATGATATTTATAAAGATGCCTATACGTTCATGTTTAGCATATTAAGCCATGATTACCAAGATATACTTAGTTTGTTTATTCATAGTTGCACGAAAAAGTATTTTAAATCTCATCAAGATATAATAAATCTAAGCTTTATAACTACTTAAAATTCTTAAGCAAGACGGCATTAAAATAAGACCATAAGCACAACTTGTTTAACTGACGTTGAACGAATTACGTTGTTTTATATCGATACCTATACTCAGTAAGTTTAAAAAAAAACATAATTAATAAAAAAAAAACATATTAATAAATGTATATAATTCCAAGTTTACTCCGGAATTAGTCTGGAAAATATATATTTTAGTCTAGAATTTGTTGATCAAGGCCGAAGGAATAAATGTAACTTAATATTCTCTCGGCTTTCAAACTCTAGTGCCATATTATTCTAATATTCTTATATGACAAAAGAAACCATCTAGCTATGAGACCCTGGGGGTAAGATTTTAAAAATATCGGAGCACATTGATGTCACAGGAGAGTAAAGGGTACGCACTTACTTGTGCCTGCTTTACGATAAGTACATAGATAATATAAAGGAACACACAATGTTTGGTATTATTTTAGGATATATCTAAATATTTAAAGGATAAAAATAAATAACACTTATCTAATGAAATTATTAGTGATATAATCATTAACAATTAAAAGTAGGCGACTCTAGATAGTTTTAAATTACGCTTTAAAAAACGCGTGAAAAAGTGACGACTACACATTTTAAGTAATAAACACTGAAATATTGATTAGTATTTATTAGCAAATAGCAAGGAACAAATTATTTGAACTAATAACGAAATAGTTCGCTATTAATTTGCTCTAATGAATACAGTAAAAATTTTGTGATTAAAACAAAAAAAAACTTTACATAGGTCTACAAAGGTCGATAAATTTCAGATAAACTAGACTGATTTAATTGATTTTTTTTCAGTTTAAGTATACACTGTAGATTTACTATTATACACAAGTACTAATATACTGCATCGTGTTGAATCGTGCACCTATTGCATTTCAGTCTCTCATTTTTACGAATAAGATATATGTATTTATTAATACAGTACATCTTAATCAGTATAATCGATTTTTATTTGTTAGACCTACTACACTATTAACGACGACGAACTAAAGAATAACTTACGTAAATTGATTATAAAATAATGTTGATATAAGCAGTCATAATAGTGATCCGTAATTTATAACCATAAAACTATCATAAATTGTACGTCAGATAAAATTAAGTTTAAAAAGATGGAAAATGACCACTTTATCTAACCTCTAACATAGTCGCTACGGTGATGTGATATGGCATAATCATCCAGATGAACAGAATAAATTTCATTCATTAATTCATTGCGTTTTATCAGCTGGTCATTCACTTTTACTAGAATTATAATTTAGTCATAGCAAAGTAAAATGATTTTTATTTTCTTATTACTAGAAAGAAAAATTTAAACGAATTCTCTTCTTAATTCAGTCTTTATTTGTTTTAGTTCAAAGTTTATTCAGTTTTAGTTGTCTATATAAAATTTTATGATTTTGTTAACTAAACTTTTTTATGATAAATCAGTACCTATTCCACATTTGGTAGTCGTAAGCAAGATCTATAGAGTACCTATATAAAAAATAGTTTGATTTGTTACAATAAAACTAATAATTAAAGGTCATATTTAGATATCTTTGTGTAGACAGATAGAATGAGTCGTTGTTAACTACGTCGCTTAAGGTATGCTTTCCAATATGTTGTTTTTCAAATTAAAAATAATGTTGATAATTGTGGATTATACACACATCGACATCTTGTCATAAGCTTGATGAAAAATGTTTGTAGTTTGTAATGTTTGTATCGTGCGAGGAATCGAACCCGCGACTATTGAACTACTAAATATATACTATTCTTATCGGATACTATTTTCCGTTTTCCTCTTACCTATGGCCATGTATTTACTAATATTAATATCGAACGTACATAGTTGTAATAGAGTCACTTCCAGAAGTAGTTGGTAAGTAGATTTGTTAGTTTACTATATTAGATATAGTTACATAAAGACACACAAACAAGTCAATCTCGCCATCTGGAGTTCCGAATTTGATTAATGCGGAAGCTAAGTTAACGGAACACCAACTTAAGTAATATTCACCTGAAATAGAACTTCGCCCTCGAAAAACGTTAGATGGTGCTTCCTCGACCGCAAAAGTATTCCGACGAGTTTGTCCGAGATCACTGTGTATATCTGTGGGCAAATAAACTTGTTAAAACTTACATTACTCATTTTACAAACAGGCATGCTTAGGATTCTTTGCTTACATTTAAAAATAAACAATAACTATATTTTATATGTGTAACTGGATATTCATTTACTTTGAAATCAAACGCTGAACGTGATATTAAATTTTTTAAATAAGTATTGAGAAAAGTCTGGTTCTATTGTTATGAAAAAGTATAATTCCACGCATATAGGATTGATTGAAAAATATTTCACATTTGTGGAATTTGTTATACATTTTAAATGTGCAATATCTCTTAGTCAAAGCATAAATACGTTTCGAGTTGAAAAAACACGTATAAAAATTGCCAACTCCTTTATTCGATAGATGAACTGCTGAGCCATGTTAAAGACAATTTACGGGCAGAAGCATGTTTATCTATAAAGAGAGATTTTCTATATTTACATAGTTTATACTAAAAGAGGCGTTTCCGGTGTCTGTTCTCATAAATATTTTAAACCACTCAATGAATTTAATGCGATTTTTAACATTAGATATAGTGATTCAAAAGGAAGGTTAATATGTATAATACATGTATATCCGTGCGAAGCCAGAGTGGGAAGCTAGTTAAAATTAAAATATTAATTTATGATATTGTTTAAAAATAACCGTACATGAAATCAATACTGACGTGGCCCGCGCGTCAATCGATGGACGAAAACCAAACAAACATCAAAATATTCCTGAGTTTTACTGCTTTAACATCCGCTTCCATATCTGGTCAGGATCTTGTTAACGTTGCTAATTATGTGAACTGACATTAGTAATCCAAAATTAAATCTTGGCCGTGACGGGCCGGGGTGACGACGCGCCCGAGACGCCACGAGGAATTCACGTGACGTCATTTGAATCGTCATTGAAGTGTTTTGTTCAGTAGTTTTGATATAACAATAATATGATGGTCGTAGAAGTAGCTCTGAATGCCTTTGAGTATGATTTATATTCCTTATCTATTGTGCATTTTTTTAAGCTGATAATGACATTTCGTTTCGAATAACGCTCCGCGGGAAGTACTTGAATATGGCATTATACATATAGCAAAAGTGTAACTGTTTGAATTGATCTAAACTGAAACTATTATTGGGCGATCTTGGGACTTTTTGGGGAAAAAATTAAAACCTATTATTATTACAATTTTAGTCTGTTTGTCGATGCGTTTGAGTACGCTAATATCAGAAAGTTATAATTATAGAGCCATGGTCGAACTTAAATGAAACTGACAAACAAAGTTAAATACATTTTTCTTCTAGATATATAATATTTATGTATCTACATACGTAGAAAAAATGTAGTAATATATATAAAAAAAAGTATAGAAAAACCATTAATAAGTGTTGGTATTGCGGGCGGATTGAACATGCAATTATAGAAAGGTGAGCTATGTAGTAGGTAAAACATTTCATATTTTTATTATCCAAAAAAAAAGTATAGTCAACTCTGTATACAGAACGCACTTGGCTATGATAACTGAGATATTGGAGTTCATATCCCGCCCTAGCAAGCTGTTTGAAGGTAATATTTCAACATAAAAGATTTATGTTTTCTTTTTTTGTGTTGTTATTAATAGATGGTATATAATCAGCTTATATAGATTCAATCTCCATTCCATAAAAAAAATGTTTACGTCTATTTTGTAACAGGTTGTACAATAAACTTAATATTAATATTCCACAATCATTAATGACTTGGTATTGACTGTCATTTAGTTATTACGAATTTTCCAACGAGCACTGTCTTGGTTTACATTTAGTTGACCTTTTTGTTAGCTCGAATTCTGAATGGCAGCCAAATGTACTTCTGGTATCGCATCAGACAATTATTTTCTATAGTTCTAAAGTCGATGTTTCGAACTCGAATATCCGGTCTTTCTTCTCTGATTAAATATTATGTTTCGTTAATTGCATTATCGCAGTCTTGAGGAAGCATGATTTCATTGTTTAAAAATGTTTAATTTCAGCTGTTAAGTCAGATTTTAATGTAAAAAAAAAGTCTAGCCTAAGTAGGTGAACAGGTATTTTTTAATCAAATATATTTGATTAATTTTTAGTTTCTAATTTTAATAACCACCTCTCTTTCCTATAAAATCATCCAATTTATAAGCTTTTTGTTCAAAACATGACTTTTATTGGCCGTGTAACGGATTTACTAATTGCATTTTTTCGATGTTCACAGGTTGAATTGTCACGCAAAATAAAATTTCAAATTCATCAGCATGTCTATTGGTACAGAGATGGCTGTTACTGGCAGCTTGTCTACCATTCTTTTTATAAGCTTTATATTTTTTATACGTCACTTTTGACTAACTATTTGTTATGTTACTTCTAGCTGTGAGCCCTTTTGGGAAGAATACACATTTTTACTAGTATTTGGTTTTTATTAAAATAGTAGTTGTGTTCCCGCTCGCAGTAACAATGGCTGATTTTAATATATTAAAAGCAAAACAGTTATTCAGTACCATACTCGTTGTGTAGATTCTACTTAGTCTGGGACTAATTGGCTTTGGTTGAAATGGCAAATGTTATTTATTACCTGTATCTATTTATTAACTATGAAATTATTAATTTCATTATTGGTGAAATATTATCAACATTATTTATTGGCTTATTCAAACTTTAATTTGTTTATTTACGTTAGACATATAATACATATCCGATATATATAAACAAAGGCACGCGATACGTGTATCTGACTTTAATCTTTTAAATGTGCATCAGAAAATTGTCCTTTGTATCCTTTGTAAAGAACCAACTTCCGTACCATTATCCTTGTGCTATTTATCTAAGTGGAAAACCACGTTTTTCTGACATTTTTGATAATAACCTAACGTAAGAAACAAAGGTCCAATTTTACAAAAGAAATACAGACATAGACATCTCGATGAGTCTAGTTCTACACATAAACTTATTGGTACGAGATTTTCTTTTAAAAATTGCTCGTTTCCGTGATGAAAATAAAGCGTAGTTGTTTACTGTTAATATAACTTATTGCCTACTTTATCGACTCTCATCAAAGTTCCTTGAGTTCTTTTTGGATGACGCTTAGGTATGCGTAGGTATCCGTGTACAGTATCGTTATAAAAGTTAATATAATTTCTTATATCCGGGTATAAATAAGAAAGTATTATTTTTTTCCAGGAATGGTAAACAAGTTGACACACATTATATTTGGTTTATTTTGAAGATAATTATATATATTTATTTAATACCAAAATTCGTCATCAGATCGATCTACACGCAGTTTCTTTTGGTCATCGTATTTTTTTTATTTGCTGACATAATGCACTCGATAATATTAGTTTATTCTGTAAGTGATCTGGTGTGAAGATATAATATCTATAAAGTTAAAATAAATAATAGTGAAGTCGAAAGTGTCCAAAACTTCTACTCATGTGATGAATTATATATATGAAAATAGGTAGCGAAACAGGAGTACGTAAGAGATCCTTGGCAGTCGCTCCTGTATATAGGAGAAGGTATACCTTCTCCATAAGGAACCTGGCTACATGACAAATGGATATAAAAGTATGACGTCCATCATGGTAATTTAAGATATTATAAGTGGCATAACTTCCTCCACTAGAAGTGCAACGCAATATAGATTCCATTGACGTCATTAATTTTATTATACACGATGAGTCGTTCATGCCAATAGGATATTAGCTGTTGATGGCCGTTTAGTTTTAAAGAAACTAATTGAAATAATATGTTTAGACCTCGCGTCAAATTCGATACATTACAAAAAGTATCTAATTAAAAATAAATTATCTACGTATTTGATACTGCTGCAAAAGTGAGACAGATGTCGTCTATCTATAAATGTCCAATGAAATGGTACATTTTAATGAAAATTGTTGAGATTTTTAACATTAAAAATTCAACAAGACAGTAGCAAATCTGAAATATTTCGTGGATGTGTCATAAGATACTGTGACCGCTCTATGTGCCAAGTTCATTACTGTCACAAGCATTGCTAATGGTCAGACGATATTGTAGCATAGGAGTTAGCGATTTATTTTATACTTAATACTGGGTATGAGAGCATCATGACCTAGTCATTTCCTGCGCCCACTTACAGCTTAAAAGTCATTAAAAATTAAAAAACAAATATCTCTTGACACAAAAAAAACTGTATATATCAAATTTTATTTCTAATAAACTCTCCGGTGATAGCAACATCTATAACAAAATTAAAAATTAAACTAACCAGGGTAGGGTTGCCAAACGAGAGCGAGGGAGGCGATAGACATGCTCATTGCCATTGGATTCAAATATACCCAGTATGAGTTTGTTAAATGTTTCGTTTACCACGACATAGATAATTATGACTGCTTTTGACTATTCCAACCGTGATAACAGTCTTAGCGATAAGGTTCTTATTAGTATCATTTATTATATAGACAGTAGGCAGGCAGTATATGAATGGCAATCGAGTCGTATATGAATGGAATCTACCGATAGAAAAAAGATAGATACGAAATTGTAATACACACGCAAAATTTAGTATAACCCACATTCTATCTCGTTATCTTTGAGATTGATTAATACGTGTAATAAATCTGTAGATATACAAGACGTACATACATATACATAATTTGAACACAAACATATACATATATATTTAATAAATAGTTGAAAAAACAGCTGAAAATTGTTTTTAACGCTTATGCCTTTCACTTGCATCAAAAGCAAATGTTTTGTCAAGATCACACTACCGGCACAGTCGGGTTATTTTAGTGTTCTGCCAAACTTCGGCCTTGTGACATAAGAACTATAAACAATGAGCTTTACGCCATTAGACAGTAATTAAGCAGGTGTGTTCATTAGTATTACCAGCACCATGTGGTGACAGTCAAGTCATCACTACTATCATCTCCAGGATTTCATTGCTAATTTCAACTCTCTTGTAAGGGATGATTAGAGGTATAAAGTATATTAATTAGTTCTTCGCTGATATCTCAACCAAAAGTATAGACAAAGAGCGATGCGTAGATAATTTTGTACGCAAAATATTTACTGCAATTGTTAGTAAGTATTAAAATTGTGTACATTTATTTGCTGGATTTTTATACACCATACAAGAGATGAAAAACTGGGAATAGAATTTGTTCATCAACAATCAAAGAGCCAATTTAATATCATGTTTTATAAACTTCATATAGATAGCATTTATTGCGTTTCTAAATTTAGAGGACAGAATATTTTGTTTAGCTAAGCGTTATGTTTTCAAGTAGTATTGATACTAAGGTACATAACTTATATTGAAATATTACTACGTGAATTATTTTAATAATTAAATATGTTGTTAAGATCTATGCAAATATAGACTTCAAACTAAAACGAGTCAAAGAAATAGAACTGCAATAATATAACAAGTTTACGAAACTGTTATATTCCGAAGTTACTGATAACTTGGCAAATAAAATATCATAATACCACAAAATGACACTTTTTTATAGAATGATAGCTACTGTGGATACTAAATGGGCATAACTTATCGACCCTATTAGAGTTCTGTGGTTTATCACAACTCGCGTGCGTAAATTGGCGAAGTTGCAGACCCTCTTAGGTGATAAAATATATCAGGTACTTACAGAGAAAAGTTCGCCAAACAGGATGACTTTAGTTGCAGACGCCAATTCTGGAGGTAATAAACTCTTGCACGGCGTTTTTCCATATTGGTTAATGATGTCACATAATTCTTTCATCTCTGTGCACACTCTGGCTTGAGCTTCAGCCCCTCGGAACTCAGTCATCGAACCGGGAATAGGTCTGGCAAAGAAGGAATGTTAAGCTAAAGTAGAGTATCGTGATATGAAACAAAAAAGATATAATAAAAATATATACTAATACTCCGTACTACATGCGCGGAGTAGGTAAAATATTTTTTAATTACTAGAATGTTTCAAAGTACCTTCATAGTACTGCAATTATTCTATTTTAGACCTATTCTGAGTAGTTTCCATTGTATTCATATTAATCCATTTATTAACTGTCGCTTTAATTCCATTGCAAATTCTCAAAGTTGTTTAGAATAGCATAATAATTTCTGACAAGGTCTTACTAGGTCAGTAGTAAATAAATATTTTAAAACTATTCTAAGTTTGGCCGGAGCTGGAGTTACACTGAATGAAAACAGGAGGCGTGCAAAGGGGACTCAAACTTATATAATAAATTTTGATTTAAGGTGACGGGAAAAGGCTGAAAAAATTGAAAAAAGAGTTGGAAGAAGTGAGTTTTGAAAAAATCTGTGTATTTGTGTTATAGTTTTTTGTCATAATTCAATAGATATAATATATTTCTAGTTATATCCTCATATGACTAATTGTGTTTTCATTAAAATAAATAAATTGGGAAATATTTATGTTTTATGCTTGTACCCTCCAAATGTTTTATTAATTAAACTATATTAATATAAAATATAGTAAAAATTATATTTTTTTTAATTATTAATTGATTAATAATAATAAATTTATTTATTATGGCATTAATATTTATTAGATATATATATATTCTAATCTAATGTTAGTAAAATTATGTTATCTGTGGTAAAAGTCTCATCTAACTCGTAATATCTACACTTACTGTGGTTATTATTATGTACGTTAGAATATTAATGTTATATCGCAGCGTCTTATGAGTTCTAAAAAATGGATTGCTGAAATAATGATGACGACGATGATGATAATGATAATACTCACTTGCCGTATTCATCCTTGGAGAATGTGGGTTTGTGGTTTTTGTCGAAGTGTCCACTAAATGCCGTCACTTTCTGTAGGTCGCTGTGTGCTTGTGCTTTGGTATCGAATGCTGAGATCAAGTCTGTTAGTGATGAGCTCTGCAAATAATGAATTTATACATTTAATTATGTAATCTATAATATAATAATTACTATAAATAATTATTATTATTATTATACCCCTGATAAATCACACAACGCCATCTGATTTCAAGGTAAGTAGAGCGTGTGTTATGGACACTAGACAACTGATATAAATACTAAGATTTATAATTTTTGTAAGCGGATATAAAAAACAGGGCTTATCAAGTTTATAGAATCAGAGATAAGGTAGCCTGTATCCGTTCAGAGAAATCATTCAAGTATGTACAAAGATAAGATTTATTGGCAAAGATTCTTAAACAAAAAAAAATATTTTTAGTAAACGTAGACTAAACATTATATTAACTTTAAAATTTCATCAATTAAAATATATATTCTTAGAATGGATAATTAATTTTGTTAAGCATTAGTGGCCATTTTGAAATACCATTGCTGATGTGTCTTGTTTGATTAAAAAAATCCTTAATACAATTATACAAAATTATTATTTATAGTCTGGTGATCAGCTCTGACTTTTGTTAATCTTGGTGCCATGATTGATTTTCATCTGAAATAGCGAGTTAGCAAAGTTACAATCAAAATTGAGTCTTATTCCAAGAACAGTCCATGATCATCAAACGTTTCTAAAAGTTATTATATTGGGTCATACCCTTATGAGTAGCTTAATAACTTGAAGGTATAACATACATATGATATCTTCATATAAAATTAATATGCGGTAACAAATATAGAATAGATTTTAGTGAAGTTATCACTGCGACGATTTGGAATTTTCTTTTTATTTTAAAGGTAACAGTCTAGAGTGGTTTAGAATATATGTATATTGTGTTAATGTATACAAAACTCTAAACCTCTATTTCATTGGCACTATCTACGAGTATGTCATGACTCCTATTCTGTAATTTCATTGTTTTATCTCACACTTCAAACAGCTTACAAACCAAGTACTCACGTAGATGACTTTTTACAAAGTCTATCAAGGTATAATTGTGATTTCAGACTTTATTAATATTACTATTAAGTAATATAATTATTGAAATAAAACTAACCCAAAAAGAAACTCGTATGGAGTCTTATTTCGCCACATTATAACAACATGTCTGCTAAATTACAAAACCATCACGAAAAATATTAGAGTTCAATAAACTGGTCACCTATGATTAACATGTTTGATATAAGAAGGGTTATAAACATTACAAATGTTTATCTTAATACTTAAGTTTACAGAGTTAAGCTGATGTACAAGATAATTAATTTTCGATAATAAATTTTAGGTTTTCAATATAAGACATCCAGGTAATTAACAGTTAGGTTTATCTATGTATTATTATGTATCTCGTTGCAACTAATATTATTATTATATCTATTCTTATTTGTATTCATAAATAGATGACGCTCCGGTTATAGGCAACTATTTCACATGAGAACTATTAGGGGATGGGATGAAGGTAAGAAATTATTTTACAATACTTTATTCGTAAATAACAAAATATATTACAGTGTAATGAAAATAATCATCATATAATGGTTATGTTAATGGAATAAAAAGTAAGAAAACTATGAAAATATGTTCATATTTTGACAAAGAGCTGAAATTCTTTCGAGCGGAACGTTTGATAATTGTGAGGCAATTTCGCATAGTAATTTATGACCGTTTTATTTTATTCAAACGCAGAAATTCCATTCTATTGTTATCGAGCGTTTCAAACAATTTAGCACTAACGTGAGATGCTTTTGATAAATCAATAAAAGTTGGCACCGATCGCGAAGGTGGCTTCGAAAATAAATGTCGCCTAGATAGTCTCAGACGAATAATGGACATAGGCGAAACACGTCTAAATATAAATATTGTCTTTCACATTTATTTACGGCATACGTTACTTTGAATAATTATACTCATATATCCTCATGGCTGTAAACTGAGATGGGGTAATCAGAGGCCTTGTCAACTACTGATGTTCCATAAAGTGTCCAACGAAGAAAAGAACGGCGTTACTCAGATAAATTTGATTTGTCTTTGGTGTTATTCAACAGAATTAGAAATAAAAAGTGACACTGACAGTTTTTAATTATTAAAATATCTAAGATGTGCACTAAACGCATGTATCTTTATTTAGTAATTAGGATACTCTTTTTATTAAAAGTCCTATATTTATGAATGGGTCAGGCGCGTGTTATAAACATATTAATGCTTCATCGAAACTATTAACGGGATAGAGCTTTTGGCAATTGTGATTATAATAACAACTCTGTTTGTCTCAAACGTATATTATGTTACAATTTTTCTGCTCAAAATTTTTAAAAATAAATGGATTTTATTTATACACTAACACTTTTTTAATCCGTCCCAGTATATGATGTATTTTATTTCAAGACTTTATTATTCTGTGCAAATCGGTAGTTAAAAAATATTATAGAATGAATATTATTTTATAAAACTGTATACGATTACTACAATAAACACTACACAACTGTAAAAACATATTTCATTTACGGAAACAACGCTAATAAAACAACTTTATTGCAAACATGAAAGAAGTTATGGATACTTAGAGAGTTTCCATTGTTTTAGAATTTTGCTGCCAAATGAATGAAATCTGTTTGTAATAAAATTTTTGTTTCCTAGAAGATGTTTTAATGTTGATTTCTAATTTTAATTTCTATAAACATTTATGTTTTCCATCTGCAATATTTCTTCAGTATGAGTACGGGTAAGTTGAACTTTTTTGTAAGCACATATGACCTGTTTGTTTTTGCGACAGTGAAGGTAAGAATTACTATAAATAATGTAAGCATTTATATCGTACGTTTGTATTAATAACAGTATGATGTTTTTAAACCGATATTTAAAAGAAGTAGATTCTTAATTACTTCTTCGGTTTTCGTTCGTCTTAGTATAACCAAATTTGAGATTTTCTTTGTATGTACCTAATGTTTGTTCCTGTTGGTAAATGTAAGAAATGCTTGGGATAAAAAGTTGTGACTTATTGTATTCTTACTTAACGTATTGTGGGAGATAATTGGAACCAATATAATGGGAACTTGTGCAAGAAAAAGTCAAGACAGGTCAATTATGTCAGTCTGAGACTCTGTAAATCTTCCTAGCTGGTGAATTCATCACGAGGCTAACTGACCTGACTGACTTTACGATCATACATCCTTCACTGATGCATTCCAGTGGATACCGTTCTCTCACACACTGTAGTAGGTATCACAATATTAGTAAGGGATTATCAGTATTGATGTACAGTTTCTGTAAATACTTACATAGTAAACTTAAATATATTTCAAGATGTTTTATATACAAAAATTTGTTAGTTGAATTGAATTCCACTTTCACATTAAAGTCTGTTGTAAATTCTAAGTAATAATAGCAAAGTTTTCAATGATAAACACATCCGTGTTTATATTTTATTTCAGAAACATCCGGTTGTTAACAGATGTTATATACGAGTAGGAATGCGAGGAATTCACATAGATTAACCTCGAAATATAATCGTATTAAAGTCATGTGACCTCCAATAATAATTTTAATATTTAAAAATACGCTTTGTTCATATAATCGAAGGAATTTTTATATGTCATTTAAAAAATTAACTGCTGATGTCGCACATATTTTACGAGTGCCTATACACATGTGAACAGCACATCAAGTGATATCACTCATATGTTGTTATTCCGTAAGACTGTATCTATAATTGTAATATATAATTACAATTTATAACCATTGGAATTCTCACTCTTCAATCGAAATACATATTACAAACCTTGCTTCTTCTTGTTCTAGGTGGGAATGAGGTACCTAGATAAAAAATATGTGAACGGGTTTTCACATATTTTTTATTATAGTTTATGAAAGTCTATTTTACTCTGGTTTTTGAAGATGATTAATTGAAACAAGATTACTTAAAAAATAATATTATTTCTTTTATATATTGTCGAAGATCATTTAATTAGTATATTTATAAACAGAGCCAGAATACGATTTTGAATAAAAACATCCGTGTCAATTTTTGCCTTACTCAATTTTTTAATATACTATATCTTCTTATGGACCCTGTAATTCGATGTAGGGCAATATGTAGCTGTAAAATTATACAGTACCAGCTACTCGCCCTGGCTTCGCACGGGTGTACATGTATTATATATATAAACCTTCCTCTTGAATCACTCTAAAAACCGCTAAAACCGCTTTAAAATCCGTTGCGTAGTTTTAAAGATTTAGGCATATATAGGGATGGACAGACAGCACCAGCGACTTTATTTTATACTACGAGTATGTAATGATGATATTTTTCTTTCAATTTTATTCTCAGGAATGTATACGAGGTACCGTACCATAGGTACATTCGGTAGTATTCATATTAGTTATGTATAGTTTTCCATTAGAAATGCTGTTAGATTGTTTTCCATTCTAGTTATATAAAAAATCAGCGCAAATATAATCCATTACTATAGGACCAAAAGGTCGCGCTAACCACAAAGAATGGCCTTGACCCACGTAGATCCAACAACTCTCAATAGATAAAAATCTTTCTCCTTTACTCAGATTTAACGATATTTGGAAAGAAGGGGAATTAAACGAGATACTCGGAATGCACTTTGTCGTCGTGACGATGATTCACACTGACTAATTGTGGCATCTTGATTTACATCCGATGGATTGCCAGCAGCTGTCTGTAACACATTCGTTGACCACATTCATACTGATCGCAGATTACAGGAAACGGCCGGATTTTATGTTATTCTTGTATTTTACATATATTTTTCGAAATAACGATTTTTAGACGAAACAATGTTTCATTTATCATAATAATAATATGGTATATTCCAATCAAAATCATGTAGAACCAAAACAAAATTAAAATGATTCGATTAATATAAATAAATTTTAGAATAATTTTATTAAATTCCGTAAAAAATAGCTATAATAACAAAATTGGCCAAAAGTCCGTGTAATTTCTGCGAAGATATCGCGCAGGTTCTATATCTGCTAA